AGAGTTACAGAGAAGGAGAGAGAGCGAGAGCGAGAGCAGGAGAGAGAGAGAGAGAGTTTTCCATCCACTGGTTCACTTCCCAAATGACCGCAACAGCCAGTGCTGGGTAAGGTTGAAGCCGGGAGCACTTAGCCTCTTCCAGGTCTCCCACAGGGGTGCAGGGGCACAAGGACTTAGGCCATCTTCCACTGCTTTCCCAGGCGCATTAGCAGGGAGCTGAAAGTGGAATAACTAGGACTCAAACCGGCGCCCACAGGGGGCGCTGCAGGCAGAGGCTTCGCCTTCTATGCCACAGTAGCTGCCCCTAATCACTATGATCTTTATTGTAACTTGTTGTAACTCAGGTTGTTTTCTAATTCATTCAGTTGTAAATAAGGTTGCATTAACCCTAAAATTTATGTGCTTTCTTTTTTAAAATTCTAGGCCAAGATGATTACCTGTCACAGCCATGTTCAGATAAACTATCTGTGGACTGATTTTTTGAGACATGGCAATTAAAATTTTTTTGCTTACGTATGTGAGGGGCACACACACACACACACAGAGAGAGAGAGAGAGAGAGAGAGAGAGTTCCTGTCCCCTGGCTCACTCCCTAAATGCCTACAATGGCCAGGGCTAGGTCCCATCAAGAGAGGACCCAAAGTAACTTTCACCACATTTAGTCCTAGTATTCTTGTTGACCAGGCAGAGTGGACAGTGAGAGAGAGAGACAGAGAGAAAGGTCTTCCTTTGCCGTTGGTTCACCCTCCAATGGCCGCCGCGGCCGGCGCGTTGGTTTACCCTCCAATGGCCGCCGGGGCCGGCGCGCTGCGGCCGGCGCACCGCGCTGATCTGAAGGCAGGAGCCAGGAGCCAGGTGCTTCTCCTGGTCTCGCATGGGGTGCAGGGCCCAAGCACCTGGGCCATCCTCCACTGCACTCCCGGCAGCAGAGAGCTGGCCTGGAAGAGGGGCAACCGGGATAGAATCCGGCGCCCCGCCCGGGACTAGAACCCGGTGTGCCGGCGCCGCTAGGCGGAGGATTAGCCTAATGAGCCGCGGCGCCGGCTCACATTTAGTCTTAAAGATCCAAGAATCCAAGGAAATTCGTTCATTTGCTTAGAGGATTTAAGAACCCAGCAACACAGTTCCCACCGAGAATGAGATTAAACTTTCAGCATGCAGCCGAGTCGTATTGCAAAAGGGACCACGTGGTGGCCCTGAGGGCTGTCAGTCCCCAGTACGCGGGGCCACGCCGCTTTATGCCAGGGGGGAGCCGTCGTAGGAGGCCCACGTGGGCCCTCCAGGTGCTCTGGCGCCGATCCTTGGCCCGCGGTCCCGCTCGGTGTGGGGGCGTCGGGGAGGTTTGGGGCACTGTCCGCACCTCCTTAAGTTTCCGATGTTTGATGCAGCCGTGCGCCCTGGGCGTCCCCGGGCCGCTCCTCGCCGGGCTAGGACCCGGGGCCCAGGACCTCAGCCGCCGCGGGAGACCGGCGGGCGCCGCGGAGCACGTGCGCAGCCACATCCCCGGCTGCAACGCAGGCCTTCCGCGCAGAGGACTCCGCCCGCGTGTCGTGCAGGTGCAAGCACTGGAGGTGGGAGCCCGCGCGGCGTCCTGGGAGCGCGCGGTGGGGAGGCAGGCAGCGCTGTGCAGCCCCCGGCCTGCCTCGGCCCGCGCCCGCGCACGGTGGAAGACCCTAGGAGAGGCTAGTACCGAGAGATGACGACGGGGGAGCCCCTTTCCACCCTCCCCCCCAAAAATGCAGTGCCGTGTCCCCCCTTGTCTGCGAGCTGTGCGTTCCCTTGTGGTGCCCGGCGCCGCACCTCTGTGTCGCCTGTTCACACGCGGACCCAAGTCGGGCACAGCGAGAGATGGCTAACAGCTAATAAATCCACAACTGTAGCAACTTACGGTAACGAACGTCATCGAAGACTCATGGGTTGGTTATATCTAGAATGTTCCATCCAGTATTTTCCGCTCAAACCACGGATAAAGGGTGACCACTGTGCCGAGGGCGGCCGATGCCTGCTTCCCGCGGTAGACTGCTCCTCTGTCCCCTTGTTTCACTTCCTTCTCCTCCTCCACGATTTTTCTACTTTTCTCCACGCAAGTTTCACCTTGAAGCAGGCAAATCCTGCTGCGGTGTGTGCATTTCTGTAAGCAACCCGAAACCCTCCTAGGAGTGAACGCAGGCTGTAAACGCGTAAGGAGACCGTGGAGGTACGGTTGGGTGCGCATTCACAGCTGGGTGAATCGGAGTTCCCCCAATAACTGATGTTCACAGTTGGGACCTTTAGTAGTAACCGATTCCTAACAATTACCTAAAGCCAGAGTTGAACAGATTTTTTTTTAATTCCTAGAAATTTAAGCAGAATTTTATTTTTTAAACTTTCAAAAATGTATTTGAGAGACAAAGAGAGAGAGGGGTCATCACTTCCCCGTGGTGACTCCTGCTTCGGGGGTCAAATCTGGGAGACAACAGCTAACCACGTCTCCCAAAAAATGGCTCCCTTTGACTATTCATATATGGACTATATTTTGGGCACTATGCAGAGTGTTTTACATATATTGTTTAACTTTCACTAAAGAGTATTTTGAGTCAAGAACTCATTTTACATATGAGAGAAACTGAGCTAAGAGAGCGTAAGTGAACTTGCCTGAGACAAGAGTCAGAGGCAGGCAGTCTGAGTGTGGTCAGTGGACTTGGCTGTTGAACAACATGATGTAGTCCTCCGACTTGCCTGCTTCAGAGAGTGCTGGCGCTTGGGCCCTATCCCCAGAGGTGGTGGCTTGATTGGTCTGAGACGTAGCTTGGCACCGGGGCGTTTCCAAAGATTCCCCTGGATGATTCTAGTCTACACACAGGTTTGGGCACTGTGGTAAATAACATCGCCTGAGACTTAGCTGCTCCATCCTCCCCACTGGTGAGATAACACCAGAAGTGTGTGTTCCACCAGGGGGGAAATTTAGGGTGTGAAGGGACAACAGGAAAGGCTGTTTTCATTCATGTCATCACTGCTTATAAATGGTCCTTTAGGATTGTCCAGTATTGTATTGGCTGGCTGACCTGTGTGTATAAAGCTGAAACCAAGGTTGGTAAATGTGGAAGGTGCACAGACCAAGCTCTATAACTCAACAGTTGATTGAAGAGTTGATTGTGTTATCTACAGGGGTCTATTCAAGCCATGGCACTGAAGGTGTAACTAATAAGTCTAACCACCACATATCTGGCGTGCAAGGTGCTTACGCATACGAGAGTGCGTCAAAGTTTATGAACAATGGAATGAACAGATATTTGTTTTGGTGCAAAAAAATATTTGAAGTCATGTAGTTTTTAAAATACACATTGTCCGGCCAGTGCCGTGGCTCAATAGGCTAATCCTCCACCTTGCGGCGCCAGCACACCGGGTTCTAGTTCTGGTCGGGGCGCCGGATTCTGTCCCGGTTTCCCCTCTTCCAGGCCAACTCTCTGCTGTGGCCAGGGAGTGCAGTGGAGGATGGCCCAAGTGCTTGGGCCCTGCACCCCATGGGAGACCAGGAGAAGCACCTGGCTCCTGCCTTCGGATCAGTGCAGTGCGCCAGCTGCAGCGCGCTGGCGGCGGTGGCCATTGGAGGGTGAACCAACGGAAAAGGAAGATCTTTCTCTCCGTCTCTCTCTCTCTCTCACTGTCCACTCTGCCTGTCAAAAAAAGATACACATTGTCCATGAACTTCTTTTTTAAAGATTTATTTATTTGAAAGGCTGAGTGACAGAAGGGGAGAGACAGAGAGAGATCTTCTGTGTACTGGCCCACACCCCAGATGCCCAGAACAGTTGGGCCTGAGCCAGACAATACCAGGAGCCTAGAATTTCATCCAGGTCTCCCATGTGCCTGGCAGGGACTCAAAGACTTGATCCATCATCTAGTGCCTCCAAGTGCATTAGCAGGAAGCTGGATTGGAAGCAGAGTAGCTGGACCTGGAACCAGGCATTCCAGTATGGGATGCAGGCATCCCAAGCTGTGGCTCCACCTGCTGAGCCACAAAGCCTGCCCCTCCATGAACTTGTTGAAGATCTCTCGTATGCATGGATTCAATTTTTTTTGCACTAAATTCATGTTTTAATTCCATTTTCCCAGAGAGTGTCCTTGTATGCACCATTAGTCTTTACAGAGAGCTATCTTTATCCTGCTGTCTGGACACTCTCTTGGACCAAATTATTTTTCATAAAGTTGTTGATTTAAACTTTCACCAGCATGCACAAACTGAATCTCAGAGAAGTAAGTTGCCCGAAACCATGCAGTCGAATGAGTGGCAAAGCTGGGGTTTGAACCATGTCTGTCTGATGCACCCACTCTGCTTTGCCCAAAACACTCCAGAGGGCAAAAATGTTCCAGAACTCTCACATGTAATCAGAGACTCCCAAGAAGAGATTCTGTCTGGAATATTCTGTAGTTATGAGGCCTATTATAAGTCTTTGTAAGATCACCTACATTTTCCCGTATTAAAAGAAACAGGATGGCCGGCGCCACGGCTCACTAGGCTAATCCTCTGCCTGCAGCGCTGGCACTCCGAGTTCTAGTCCCGGTGGGGGAGCCAGATTCCGTCCCGGTTGCTCCTCTTCCAGGCCAGCTCTCTGCTGTGGCCAGGGAGTGCAGTGGAGGATGGCCCAAGTGCTTGGGCCCTGCACCCCATGGGAGACCAGGAGAAGTACCTGGATCCTACTATCGGATCAGCGCGGTGTGCCGGCCACAGTGCGCCGGCTGCGGGGCCCATTGGAGGGTGAACCAATGGCAAAGGAAGACCTTTCTCTCTGTCTCTCTCTCTCACTGTCCACTCTGCCTGTAAAAAAAAAAAAAAAAAAAAAAAAAAGAAAAAGAAAAAGAAATGAACACCTTGAATTACTGGTGATTATTTTGGTGCCCAAATAGTTCTGTTTTCTAGCTCATTTTTCTGTTGATTTGTGTTGCTATTTTTATCATATCATTGATTCCGGTTGAATCCAATTTGTGCCCTTATCTGCTTTTTTATTTTCATTTTTTAGTGAATCCTGTTGCCTGTGACTTTATAAAGAAATGGTAAGATTCTAACTATAGTATTGGTCTCAACAGACCTAAACTCATAGAGCTGCTAAACTTACGGGGAAGACTTAGTTCTGAGGCATTTGAAGTGGAAGTCTCCCTGGGGTCATTTTATTTTACTCCTTTTCTTCTCCTTCTCCTTCTTCTATTTATTTATGTGGGAGGCAGAGTGACAGAGACAGAGATCTTCCATCTGCTGGTTCACTCCCCAAGTGGCAGCAGAGGCAGAAGGCAGCAGCCAGAACCCATCTGGGTCTCCCACGTGAGTGGCAGGGGCCCAAGCACTTGGGGCATCTTCTGCTGCTTTCCCAGGCCCATTAGCAGGGAGCTGGCTGGGGAACGGAGCAGACAGGACTGGAACAATCAGGGAAGATTCAAGGGAGCCGAGTGGGGCACAGAGGAGGCTGAGTGGTACCAAAAGTATATTTTACCTATATCATAGTTTCTGCAAAGCCTGACATTAATTCTGAAATTTGTCTGTAAAATTGCTTCAAATTCAATGCCACCAAGTCATCTACAAATTACCCTAATACACCAATTGAGCTTTTTTTCCCCTTAACGAGTGTGTATTTTATTTAGGGCCTTCCATAGACAATATACTCTTTGTTATGTTACCTATTTATTATCTTTGCTTTTATTATGTGTTATATTACTGAGTCTAGAAATGAAAAATTTCGGTCTAGAGTAGTTCAGCCTTTTAGCTCTCTTTGAATTGCCTCAAATATAGCATTGGTGGGGCTTTTTTGGGGGGAAGTTTGTGTACAGATGAGATTTGTTTGAGTAGGAGTCAGCCAATGTCACCATATTCCTTAAGCATATGTTAATCAGCTGGTATGTGTTAGTTTTTTTTCCAGGAAGAGAGTCCAAGATCTTTCTAAGCCTAAGAGACAGTGGGGAATCCCGGACAGGTAAGGCAGCTTCATTGGTCTTGTTTGTTACTGTTGTGTCCTCTGTATCAGGTGGGTAAGTACCGCTCTTACCTGCTCATCAACCCTGTATCCCGGGTGTATCGACTCAGCTAGATCCTCTGAACCAGTGTCGCCAGCTCAGCTGACTCGGCACATGAAGGGCTAATCTTGGTCAGCGGTTCGCAAATTTGCACTCTGGACTCACCCAGTAAGCTGCCTGATCCCATCCCTGGAAAGCCTGATTTAACTGGCCTGGAGTGCAGCCTGGGCTTTGGGAGTTCAGAGCTCCCCAGATGACTCTCGTGGGCAGACAGGGGCAAGGGCCGTGTCCCAGGGGATGACACGCCATCCTGTAGCTCGGGTCCTGCTGTCCTAAGCCTCTGCCTCGACGGTGCACACCTGTTCCCTGGGCCTCCTGGGACCCTCGGCGCTTCCATGCCTGGCGGTAGGGCTCTCATGTTCCCTCTTTGACTCCTGAGACCGTTCTATGTTCCTGATCTCTGATTGCTTTCTTTTTTAAAAAATCAGTAGGCTTTATTGTGTATAGCAGTTTTAGGTTCACAGGAAATTGAGCAGAAAGTAACAGGGTAGGTGTTTGGCCTAGCTGCCAAGACACAGGTTAAGACACCCACATCCCATACCAGAGTCGCTGGGTTCATTGTCCTCCATTTCCCGACTCCATCTTCCTGCTAATGCAGACTGTGGTAGGCAGTGGTGACAGTTCAATGACTGGGTCCCTGCCCCTCAGGTGGGAGGCCTGGATTGTGGTCCTGGCTCCCGACTTCAGCCCTGGTCCAGCCCTAGCCTTTGCTGGCTTTGGGGGAATGCACCAGCAGGAAAGAGTGTTCCATCTCTCTTCGCCTATCAACCACATGAAGAAAAACTTAAAGAGAAAAAAAGTACAGAGTTCCCATATTTACTATCCCTCTCCCCAGTTTCCCTTATTATTTTTTAAAGATTTATTTATTTATTTGAAAGTAAGAATTACACACAGAGAGAAGGAGAGGCAGAGAGAGAGAGAGAGAGAGAGAGATATTCCATCCACTGGTTCACTCCCCAAATGGCCACAATGGCCAGGGCTGGTCCAAACAAACCAAAGCCAGGAGCCAGGAGCTTCATCCCGGTCTCCCACATGGGCCTGTGGACTTGGGTCATCTTCCACTGCTTTTCCAAGTGCATTAGCAGGGAGCTGGATTGGAAGGAGCAGCTGGGACTCAAACCAGGTGCCATATGGGATGCCAGCTTTGCTGGCTGCAGCTTAACCTGTTACGCCATACGCCATAGCACTGGCCCCATCTTTTGAGGATTTGATAACTTATTATATTCTGTTGGTCTGGGTCATAATCTATTGTACAAATACACAATAAGCTGTGGTATATTTATCCTTTTACCTATTGGAGGAAATCTTGGTTGCTTCTAGTATTTGAGTAATATTGCTATAAACATTTGTGTCCAGGTTTTTGTAAAGATATAGGTTTTCAACTTACTTCTATAAATACTTACAAGTGCAATTGCTGGGTCATATAGTGAGATTGTATTCAGCCCTGTGAGAACCTGCTGAACTGTACCATTTTGCATTCTTACTAGTGATGAAAGAGAGTTCCCATGCTCCATATCCTTGTCAGCATTTGTTGTCAGTGTTTTGGATTTTAGCCATTCTCATATGTGTACACTGGTATCTCTTTTGTTTTAACTTGCAATTCCCTAATGACATGCTGTTGGGCATATTTCATAAGCTTAGTTATACTTCTTCTTTGATGAGGTGAATATTTTGATCTTTTGCCAAAATTTTAAATTTTTTTGTTTTCTTATTGTTGAATATAAATGTTCTTCTGGAAATCAGTCCTTTATCAGATACATGTTTTGCAAATATTGTCTTTAAGTCTGTGGCTTGTCTTTTTATCCTGTTAGCAGTGGTTCTCACAGAAAAAAAGTTTCAATTTTAATGAAGTCCAACTTATCAATTTTTTCTTTTATAGCGTATGCTTTTGGTATTATATCTAAAACCCCTTGCCAAACCACAAGTCAACTGGATTTTCTCCTGTTTCTTTCTCAAAACTCCTAGAAGCTTTAGTTTTGCATTTTAAGTGAAGTCTAAGATGCATTTTGAGTTAATTTTTGTGAAGGGTGTGAGATCTGTGTCTAGATCCTCCCCTCCACACCACTTTTTCGCATGTAGGTGTCCAGTTGTTCCAACACCATTTGTGGAAAAGGTGATCCTTTCTCAATTGGATGGACTTCATTGCTTTGACTGCATTTGCATGGATCTATTTCTAGGATCTGTATTCTGTCCCATGGATCTGTTTGTTCTTTCACCAATACCACACTGTCTTAATTTCTGTAGTTTCATAGTTAAGTCCTGAAGTTAATTAGTGTTGGTCCAGATTCGTTCTTTTTCAACATTTTATTGACTACTTGAGATCTTGTCTTTCTATATAAATTTTAGAATCAGTATATCGATATCCATGAACTAAATTTTTGTTGGTATTACATTGAGTATATAAACCAACCTGGTAGGAACTGATGTCTTAATATTTCTTTCATTAGGAGAGAATTTTATTTTTAGAAGTGTCATCTTAAACTGCAAGGATGTCCGTTAAACATCACAATTAAACATGCCAAAGGAGAAGCCGTGTTGTCAAAATGCCCACTTAATCCATCCAAACATCTCAAACCCACCCTTTGCTGACCTTCTATAACCCCATTTTTTAAAATTGTTTTTCTTTTTTTAAACAAGAGGAAGTAGACAGATACATGTTGGTATTCACACACATGTCCGTATTCACATAGAGACACAGTGTAATCTCTGAGCCCAATGTACAGAGAAAGGAGGAGAAAAGCTAGAATTCTCTGCACTGCTACACAGGGGCCTGGCACCCTCCAGCTTCCAGCAGAGCCAAGGGAGCAGGAGGGTTTCTTTTTCCCGCAGAGCACGGTGGTGTTGATTCCATACAGTTTTTGTCGAGACAAAAGGGATAAAAATGAATTTGGAACAGAAAGGGGTAGAAATTCCTTTCCCATTGTATTCTGCTTCAAGTATTTTTTCCACAATAAGGTGAGAACCATGGTGTAGAGAAAAGACCTCAAAAACAGGGAGACTGAGCACAAGAGGGAAAAAAATAAAAAGAAGACGGCAACTTACTCCCAGGGACTGGAGAAAATTTTTTTAAAAAGTTGGAATCCATTGGTGTTTTCTATTAGTCATCTTCTCCTTCATCCTCCTCTCCTTCTTCCCCTTCATCATCATCTTCATCTTCTTCCCCTTCTTCATCAACGTCTTCCAGTCCTCCTCCTTCTCCTCTTCCTCCTCTTCCTCCTCTTCCTCCTCCTCCTCCTTCTCCTTCTTCATCATCCACATCAGGAACCAAGTAGTGCTGTAATGGATTCTGCCAGATATCATCCTTGATGACCTCTCCTAACCCATCTGCACCTGCAGCAGAATGGTCAGTAAGCCAGAGAAAGCTCTCTGGCTCCTCCTGCTGCCCTGCTGGCTTTGTTCTGCATTTGACTTGAACGTTTCATCACATCCTTTCCAGATTTCCATCTGATTTCAGTGGACTTTGAAGATGGATCACCACTCTCATTCAGATGAAATTCTTTAGAGAGCACTTTATTTTTGAAGTAAGGATGTTCATCAAAGTAAAGATCTGTTCTGTAACATGATTTAATATCTTCAAATTCTGTCACTTCAACTCTGGTCAAATAATGCCTCTTCATCCTCCTCCCCAAGCAGTGGTTGACAAATGTTGTTACCCAAAATTTTGGGATTTTGGCAATCAGTTCTAACCTCTTCTGAAAAAATGGTTGGCGGAGTTTGTTATATTTCTGTTCTGCTTTCAAAATCTCCTCACTGGGCTGTTCATTAAGTCTGTCTATTTCATTTTGTACTTCATCAGTATGTTCAATTGCTTCTTGTTATTCTTTATCTCCCGTTGACAAATCCCAAGAGGCCAATGTCTCCACCAGTCTCGGGCCAGGAGCTGCTCTCAGCTTCTTTGTTTAAGGAGGGAATGAAAATGGGCATTTGGGAGCCATGCTTCCAGGAAACTGAGCCCCAACACAGGCAGGAGGAAGCTCTGAGAACTCATCTTAATTTTGAGTATCCATGAACATGGAATACCTCTCCATTTATTTGGATCTTCTTTGATTCCTTTTATCTGAGTTTTATAGTTTTTCTTGTGTTAATCTTATACATATTTTATTAGATTTGTACATATATTTTTGGTGTTATTTTAAATATGTTTTTAATTTCAAATTCCAATTGTTTATCATTGGTGTATCAGAAATAAATAAACTTATATATTTAAAATTTTATTTATTTTCTCTTTTAGAGAGATTAGGGGGTGGAGAGAGAGAGAGAGAGAGAGAGAGAGAGAGAGAGAGAGAGAGCTCCCATCCACTGGTTCACTTTATGTACCCACATGGTTGGGACTGGGCCAGGTCAAAGCCAGGAACTGAATGTGGGCCTCCCATATGACTGGCAAGGACCCAAGCCATCTTCTGCTGCTTTCCCACCTGCACTAACAGAGAGCTGGATCAGAAGTGGAGCACCTGAGACTTGAACTGGTGCTCATATGGGATGCAGACATCACAGGTGATGGTTTAATCCACTGTGCCACAACACTAGCCCCAGGAATCATCAGTATTTAATAATAATTGAAAAAAACCAAGGAGGGTGGAACTCTGGTGCATAGCATTAAGTTGTGAAAATGATGCTATCTGAGGCCAGGGCAGTGGTGAAATGGGTAAAGCTGCTGCCTGAGATGCAGGCATCCCATATTGGTGCCAGTTTGAGTTCTAGCTACTCCACTTCATATCCAGCTGCCTGCTAGTGTGCCTGGGAGAGCAGCAAAGGATAGCCCAAGTCCTTGGGCCCCTGCATCCATATGGAGACCAGGAGGAAACTCCTGGTTCCTGGCTCCTGGCTCCTGGCTCCTGGCTCCTGGCTCCTGGCTCCTGGCTCCTGGCTCCTGGCTCCTGGCTTTGGCCTGGCCCAGCCCAACTGTTGCAACCATTTGGGGAGTCAACCAGTGGATGAAATATTCTCTCTCTCTTTCTGTCTTTTCCCCCTCCCCCTTCCTCTCTCTCTCTCTCTCTCTGTGGCTGTGCTTTTCAAGCAAATAAAATCATTCTTAAAGAAAGTGATGCTATCTTTTTTTTAAAAAAATTATTTATTTGAAAGAAGCAGAGAGAGAGTGTGTGTGAGAGAGAGAGAAATAAAAGTCTTCCATCTAATGGTTCACTCCCCAAATGGCTGCAGTGCCCAGAGCTGGACTGATCTGAAGCTAGGCACCTGAAGCTTCTTCTGGGTCTCTGTGCAGGGCCTAAGGACCTGGGCCATCTTCTGCTGCTTTCCCAGGCACATTAGCAGAGAGCTGGATCAGCAGTGGAACAGCTGGGGCTTGAATCATGCCCATATGGGATGCCTGTACTGCAGGCAGCAGCTTTACCCACTTTGTCATAGCGCCAGCCCAAGGTGCTATCTGAAGAAACAACAACAAAAAAAGCAGATAGAGAATTAGGAGACAGGCTCTCACAAGCCAGGGTGGGGGTGGCACAGGACACCTGCAGCCCACATCATAGCGCCTGATTTTGAGTCCTGGCTCCAATCCTGATTCCAACTTCTTGCTAATGTTTCCTGGGAGGCAGCAAAGTAATCACTCAAATAGTCAGGTCCCTGCCACCTACGTGGACAACCTTTTGGCTTTACCTGGCCTACCCCCAACTGTTGCACAGGCATTTAGGAAATGGACCAGCAAATCACAGATCTCTGCATTTCTCTGTGTCTCTTTGCCTTTCAAATAAATAAAGATTCAGTTTAAAAACTGCAAAAGCAGAAAAATATGAAAAGAAAAGTGGATCCTTTGAGGAAACATTCAAAGATGTTGTGGTTGGCCAGATGGACAAAGAAAGATTGAAGACTGCTTTCTGCTTCCAAGCAAATAAAGCATTTTAAAGAGATGACAGCTAAGTAAGCATTTTTTAGATGAGAAGAGAGTATAAGAATTTTGGAGGAGGGAAGCCCTGGAAATGGGATGATGAAAGCTGTTGTGGGTTTTGACTCGTGGGATCTGGAAGAGACTAGAGATTTAGCTGTTCAGAGTAGGGTGGGCTGAACACTGAACTCACAAGAGTCCTGGCTCCATTGTTCTAGAATTCTCTGGACCACTGTGACTGTGTCAGACTTTGTTATGTTTCATGGATTCTCCAAACAGGTATAGTATGGATAAGATTCCTACACTCTGGGGTCAAGCCCTATATATGGATTGTTAAAGATTAAATTTATATGTCCTTAGGGCTGGCGCTGTGGTGTAGTGAGCTAAGCCTCTGCCTGTGGCACCAGCATCTCATATGGGTGCCAGTTCATGTCCTGACTGCTCAACTTCTGATCCAGCTCTCTGCTTATGGCCTGGGAAAGCAGTGGAAGATGGCTGGTTCACTCTCCAAATAGCCACAATGGCCAGGGCTGGGCCAGGCTGGAGGCAGGATCCCAGAACTCCATCCAGGTCTCCCACTTGGGTGGCAGGGACCCAGGGGCTTGGGCCATCTTCTGCTGCCTTCTAAGGTGCATGAGCAGGGAGCTGGATTGGAAGTGGAGCAGTGGGGACTCGAACCAGTGCTCATATGGGATGACGGCACTGCAGGTAGTGGCTTAACTCTGCTCACACAATGCTGGCATTAAGGCAACATTTTTATACATAAAAAATCTGAATTATTTCTAATCATGCTTCTGGCTGATGTTCACAGAGCACAGATAGAAAGATGACATCAAAAACTACAGGTGAACATGACAGAAAGAAGACCCAGGGCTTTTAATGGGTTGGGGCAATGTGTTGGCAGACGTGGTCCTGTGCGGCACGGGGTTGGCAGACGTGGTCCTGTGTGGTGTGGGGTTGGCAGATGTGGTCCTGTGCGGTGTGGGGTTGGCAGACGTGGTCCTGTGTGGTGTGGGGTTGGCAGACATGGTTCTGTGCCATGTGGGGTTGGCAGACGTGGTCCTGTGCGGTGTGAGGTTGGCAGACGTGGTTCTGTGCAGTGTGGGGTTGGCAGACGTGGTTCTGTGCAGCGTGGGGTTGGCAGACGTGGTCCTGTGCAGTGTGGGGTTGGCAGAGGTGGTTCTGTGCGGTGTGAGGTTACCGGGGCACCTCCCAGGGCCTCCTGTCCTTCTCACCCATTCCCACGGTGTCGCTTAACCCCTTCTGGGTGTGATTGCTTCCTCTCAAACTCACCCAGCTCAAGACTTGGCCAATCCCACTTCCCACTGGGACCTGGATACAGGATGGGCCTTGTTTCTGGCCACCTGTGCCTTCTGCTTTCTCCCGGGAAGTCTTTCCAGGTTAGTCCAGTGCTGATTTCTTGTTCTTGTCCACACCTTGCCCGGTAGTCCTATGTGTTTCACAGACTTTGAGACATCTGCTTTGCTAGGCCATAGCAGAGAGCTGGAAGTGGAGCAGCTGGATCTCGAACCAGAGCCCATATGGGATGCCGGCACTGCAGGAGGTGGCTTCACCCCCACGCCACAGCACTGGCTCCCAGCATGCACTGTTGATTACATGATGGCAGAAACGGAACAATCCTGTCTCTAACAGGTTCAGCTTGGTCGCCATATTTTAATAAAGTGGATAAAAACTGTCTGCTTTTGTTCTTAGTTTGACATTCTTCATCCATTTCTGATGCCTGTAAACTGTGAAATTCTGTGATACAGTTCTGGAAACAAAATCGACATAGAAGCTGTTAAGAGTCATTTCTAAGATGTGTATGAGCACCTCGGCTAATTACTTGCCATTTTCTTTGTATTTTTTTTTTTAACAGAAAACTGTTTTGGGGAAACCAGGATCCTATTTGCCCTGTTCCCGTCAATGCTTTGAAATCTCAGCTCACCCAAAGGCTCGAGGACCTTGCTCAACCCAAGAGAGTGTCTGACCAGTTTATGCCTAACAGGTTCGTGCTTGTGTTGTCGGGTTACTTCAGCAGGAGTGTTTAGGGAAGTGTGAACATAGAACCGAGTCCTTCTATCTAAAAGCTGCACCTGTTCAATCTGCAGTAAAAAAATCTATTGAGGATTAGGGATTCTATATCTGTTTTCAACCTGATGCTATGGTAAAACTCTTTCAGATTTATGTGTTTGAAAGGTCAAGTTATGGAGAGAGAACGAAAGAAAGATCTTCCCTCTCCTGGTTCCCTCTGCAAATGGCCACAACAGCCAGGACTGAGCCAAGCTGAAGCCAGGAACTCCATCTGTGCCTCCCACATGGGTGGTAGGCACTCAAGTTCTTGAGTCATTGTCTACTGCTTCCTAGGCACATTACCAGGGAGCTGGATCAGAGGCAGATTAGCCAGGACTCAAACCAGCACTCTGATATGGGATGTGGGCATCCCAGGTGGCAGCTACACCTGCCACACCTGCCACCCACCTGGTAAATCTTTTCCAGTGCAAGATCTACTATGCAGCTTTTGTGAACTTGTGTTGTACTTTGGATGGTGAAGAATTTGGCTTTTTATTTTATTTTTAAAAGTATTTATTTACTTATGAGAGAGAAAGAGAGAGAGGAGAGAGAGAGAGGAGAGAGAGGAGAGGAGATAGAGAGAGAGCGAGAGAGCAAGAGAACCCATCTGTCCAGGCTAAAGGCAGGAGCTCCATGTGGGTCTGCCAAGTGGGTGGCAGGGACTCAAGTACTTGGATCTGCCATCTGCTGTGTCCCAGGCGCATTAGCACAGAGCTAGATCAGAAGTGGAGTAGCTGGTACTCAAACCAGAGCTCCAGTGTGACATGTGGTGTCCCAAGCTGCAGCTCTACATGCTGTGCCACAAGGCCTGCCCCGACATCTTCACCAGCATCTTCACCACCCCCCAGGCAGGGCGTCTGCCTTCCTGTTTACGACAAGGCACGGAGTATTTGCAATCTGATAGCAGCATAGGTTTGTCTGTTTCTCCTTTCAGCTGTATCAGCTTTCATTTTCTGTACTTTGAAGTTCTGTCTTCAGATGTGTGCATATTTAGAATCATGTCCTCTTGATGCACTGATTCTTCTATGGTTATAAAATGTATTTTCTTTACTCTCACTAAAAATATGTTTTGTTCAGAAATCTACCTTGTCAGGGGTTAATATAATTATGCCAGCTTTTTTTCATTAGTTAACATATTTTTTCATCCTTTTACATTGAACCTATTTGTGTATTTATATTAAAGTGAATTTTTATAGGCAGTGTATGGTCAGACCTTGGCTTTACCCAATCTGATAATCTTTGTCTTTTAAGTGAGGTGTTTAGATCATTTATATCTAATGTGATTATTGATACATTGAGGTTTAAAGCTACCATTTTGCAATTTGCTTTCTATTTATTCCATCAAGGTTTTGTTCCCTTTTCTCTATTTTGTTGCTTTCTTTTGGATTAACTGGTGCTCTTTATAAACCCATTTTAATCTGCTTTGTTGGCTAATGGTTACTTTAGGATTTACAGTGTACATCTTTAACTTTTCACAATCTGTCTTCAAGTAATTTGATACCAGTTCCTGTATAGTGTAAAAGCCTAGTAATTCCGTATTTCCATTTTTCCACTTGGCTTTTGTCCTGTTGTGATAGTACACTTTACTTCTAAATATGTCATAAACCCCACAATATACTACTATTTTTAAAGTCAATATTCTTTTATAAAGATTTACTTACTTGTTTGAAAGGCAGAGTAACTGAGAGAGGGGGAGATATAGAAAAAGGGATCTTCTAGGGGTCAGTGCTGTGGCTTAGTGGGTTAAGCCATCTCCTGCATTGCCAATATCCCATATGGGTGTGGGTTCAAGACCTGGCTGCTCCACCTCCAATCCAGCTCCCTGCCAATGCACCTGGGAAAGCAGCAGAAGATGGCCCAAGCTGACTTGGATCTGAAGCAGAGAGGTGGGACTCGAACAGGTGCTTAGACATGGGATGCGGGTGTAGCAGGTGCAGCTTAACCTGATGCGCCATAACACTGGCCCCTCCATTGTTTCTGCTGAGACACTAACTATTAACCTTTTCTTTGTTTCTTTGTATGTAGCATGTTTTTTGTCTATGGTGCTGTGTTGTTTTTCTTTTTCTCTTTGGTTTTAAAAAATTGAGTATGACCTCCTTGATTTTTTACTCATGTTTCTTCTGTGTGGGGCTCATTTAACTTTGTAGTTCTCCAAATTTATGATTTTCATCCATTCTGGAAAATTTCAGCCATTATTTCTTCAGATATTTTTGCTACTTGTCCATCTTTTGTGTTAGACACTTGAAGTTGTCCCAGATCACTGAATCTTCCCCCCCCCCCATTTTATTTCTCTCTCTTGTCTTTGCTAATCTTTTGCCCCAAATCCTACTCATCCCACCCAGGGTATTTTTCTTCTCATGTATTATTATTTTCTTCTCAAGTTCAACTTGGTATTTTTATATCATTTACATGTTTCTACTTAACATGCTCTGTTTTTTGTCTACGTTCTTGAACATATGGAATATAGTTACAATAGTTGTTTTAACATTCTTGCCTACTAATCTGATAATATGTCATCCCTGTGTCTGTTTCTAATGATTGGTTTTTCTCATCATAGACCATACTTTACTGGTTCTTTGCATAGCTGGTAATTTTTGATTGGGTACCAATCATTGTAAATCTTACCTGACTGGATTAGAGGGGTTTTTGTGTTCTTGCAAACATTCCCAAGCTTTGTTCTGGGACATAGTTGTATTATTTCACAGCAGTTAGGTCCTTTGAAGTTTTATTTAAATAATAAAGAAGCTCTGTTGACATTAATTCACTTACCATGCAATTTACTTAAATTTGTATAACTCAGTGTTTTCTAATATATTCATAGGCTGATGTAACCACCACCAAGATCTAATTTTAGACCACATTGTCTGCCCTAAAAGAAACACTGAATTCATCAATATACAGTCCCAATCCTCCTCCTCCCACTCCTCCCCCAAACCCCAAGCAACCACTGATCCACTTTCTATCTCTACCAGTTAGCTTGTTCTGGGCTTTTTGTATGAAAGGACCCACATACTATATTGGCCTATGATGGACTGCTTTTATGTAGCACAATGTCACAAGGTTTGTCTGAGTCGGAGCATGCATCAGCACTTTGTTCTTTTTAATGACTCAGTAATATTTCATTGTATGGCTTTGCCACATTTTATTCAACCATTCAAAAAACAGGTGCCTGGTAGCAGGGACTGAGTGGTCACTAGCAAAGGACACAGAGGAGGACTTACAGCACAACCAGCAGCTAGAGGTGCAGGCCAAGGGACAGGAATCCCCATCTGTGGGTTCCTAAGGGATCCTCCCAAAGGGAAATCCTGTGGAAAAGAATCAGAGTGGGACTGTGATCTGAATGAAGACCAGATCTGAAACAGAGCCAGTTCCCCTTTCACTGATGACGTAATAGAGTTTGATTAAGGGAATATTGAGGATCAGCATAACATGAAGAACCTTATTATTTATCCTAAATAAAATTCTAGTTAACAAATAATGATGAAATAATCTCTGCACCACAATTAAGGAGAATTTATTCCTAAACTCAGAATTCATTAACATAAAGCAAAGTATGAATGTCATTGATCCTATTAACTATAAATATATTAAAAATTTTGAATTATTTATGTAGATGCTAAAGAAAGTATTTAGTTATAAAAGCAGCAAGTTTTCTCTCTTTTCTAAAGATTTTATTTTATTTATTTGAAACACAATTACAGTGAGGGAGGAGACACAGATAGAGAGATCTTCCATCTGCTGGTTCACTCCGCAGATGACCATAACAGCCCGGGGTGGGCCAGGCCAAAGCCAAGAGCCAAAAGCCTGGTCTCCCACGTGGGTGCAAGGGTCCAAGCACTTGGGTCATCTCCCACTGTTTCCCAGGCACGTTAGCAGGGAGCTGGATTGGAAGTGGAGCAGCTGGGACTCGAACCCGTGCTCATCTAGGCTGCTGGTGTCACAGGTGGTAGCTTAGCCCACTGTGGCACAGTGCCAGCCCCACAGATTTTTTTCCTTTCCATCAGGCTATCCTTTGGTCTGTTTAGAAGATATAATTTATCTATTGCAGGCAGTGATCTATTTTGAGTAGGATTATAAGAAGTTGATTAAATGTGATGTCTGTTATCATTTCTAAATCAGTTCATTTCTCTCCGTGTGAAAATAGTTCAGCAAAAAAGAGATCAGCTGTCATACCTGCTCCCCTCGGCCTGCAGATCAGTATTGGAAATGCTGTGATAATTTGAACTTAAGCTCATTTCTCTCTCCCTTTCTTCTTTTGTTACTGGCAGGGATCAATATTACTACAGCTGTGGCAGAGCGTCTGTGATTTGGAAGATCCCTCCTCCTGCCTTGTTTACCCAACCTTCCAAAAGGATCCTGAGGCTGGCCCAGCCCAACAGGTTCAAAATACAGTATCTGCTAGACAGGTAGGGCATCCTGGACTCTGCAGAAGCCCGAGTCGCTTGGTTAAGAGCTGAGGTGTCAGCATCCTAACCTTAGTAACTGCAGTTTCGTGAGCTGAAATTCTGCTTGCTTTCCACAGCGTCAGGGTAAAACACAAAATATTTGCAGCACTCTTGGGTGATCAGAAATGCATCATCAATAATCACATTTGACTCAAGCTGTGGTGAAGCGAAAATTCACACCAACCTTTGCCATTATCAGCTGATTGAAAGGAAATAGGCAGATGGCCTGGCAGGTGTTTGCAATCTGTAGAACTTGATGTTCTTTAATGTCTGGGGCTTTGCGAGCGCTCTTCCTTTTGCACCGAATGCTGCGTTTCTCCTTGTCTTCAAGGCACTGCTTCGGTGACAACTTCCCCTTTGAGGCAAGAGCTTCATGTGTGTGGGGAGCAACTGGGAGCAACTCGGACTAGACTAAGTTACTGGAATTAAGACTTATTCTATGCATCTGCTCTCCCACAATATGGCGCTGGGAGAGGAGGAGACAGCTTCTACACAGCTGCCTCCAGTTCAACCAATAAGCAGCAGGACCTGCTCCTGATTGGAGGAGAGCAGCGTACTCGGCGTGTGGGTAGCAGAGTTGGGATTGGTGGAAGAGGACTATAAAGGAGGAGAGAGACGGCATGCACCAGGAACATCTGAGGGAACACCTGTGCAGCCCCCGAGAGAGCCGGCCGGCGGTGTGCCGCTCCCCCGCGGAAGTGGGGAAAGTGGCAGGGGGAACCGCCCTTCCACGGAGGTGGAAGGGACGGTAGCCAACCCGGGAAGAACCAGCAGCAAACCCGGGGAGGGCCGAGCAGACGAAAGAACAACGCAGGATCCTGTGTCGTTCCTCCACGAAGAGGGGGAGCGACACATGTGGTTACTGGGAAAGCTAATTCGCTGTTTGCACTAGTGGAATATGTACAATGACCAAATGGGGAAGCGATAATACTGCATTCTGAATTCGTGTTTTTTTTTTTTAAGATTTATTCACTTATTTGAAAAACAGATTCTCTCTCTCTCTCTCTCTCTCTCACACACACACACACACACACACACACTCACACAATTAAGGATATCTTCCATCTGCTAGTTCATTCTCCAAATGGTTGCAATGCCTGTTCGGGTCCAAGCTGTAGCCAGGAGCTCCATCTGGGTCTCCCACGTGGGACCCAAGCACTCAGATCGTCACCTGCTGCTTTCCCAGGCATGTTTGCAGGCAGCTGGGCCAGAAGCAGAGCAGCCAGGACTCCAAGCAGCACTCTGATACGAGGTACTGGCTTTGCAGGCTGTGGCTTAACCTGATGTGCCCTACCACTGGCTCCTGCATTCCACTATACCAGGGGTATAGGTCCAGTATGGACGGTGTAGCTTAAGAAATGCACAGTAAGTTTGAGGCTTTTCAGAAGGAGACAAATAAAATGCTGTGACTTCTGGAATCTGTGTCGTACAGGAAATTGTTAAGAGAAGGCATATGTTTAGCATAGAAATGAGACCAAGGAAGCAGCGACAGCTGTGTGTGCAAATGTTTAGAGTGTTGGCATCTGAAAGAAGAAAAAGAAGTGGAAGTCCAGAAACGTTATCTTGATCCTGGAGCTAGAAGTGGAACAAGGCATTTAGGGGGCAGCAGATGTCCCCTTGAAATCGGACAATTTCCTGCCCTCCAGGAATGGATGGGCTCTGTGGGAAAGAGGAGCCCCCTCTCCACCCCAAACTCTGGAAGTTTGCAAGCGCAGCTGGACGGGTGACTTTACATGGATTTTGGGAAAAGGTTCGTGCACACAGAGAGAGGTTGCCTGGGCAACCAGAGTCTTTTTCACCATAGATCATGGCCAGTTCCTCCCCAAAAACTTCTTCCTTTGCTTATTTGTCACCTGCTAACTTGGCTAAAATGTGCATGTGCCTTTCATGATTATAAAAGAGGAATACTTTCTCTGTCACTAGTTTTGGAGAGACCTGAGTTTGACATTTCATATAAGTGAAACTCCCTTTTGTATTTTTTTAAATTTCTATGTATTTGAGAGGTAGAGTTACACAGAGAGAGAGAGAGAGAGAGAGAGAGAGAGAGAGAGAGAGAAAGGTCTTCCATCCGCTGGTTCACTCCCAAAATGTCCACAATGGCTGAAGCTGAGCCAATCGAAATCTAGGAGCCAGGAACTTCTTTAGGGGCTCCTACATGGGTGCAGCAGCCCAAGCCCTTGGGCCACCTTCCACTGCCTTCCCATAAGCACAGAGCTGGTATCAGACGAAGAGCGGCTGGGACATGAGCCAGCGTCCATATGGGATGCTAGTGCCACACGTGGAGGCTTAGCCTACTGCGCCACAGCACTGGCCCCATCCTCCTTATATCCTTAACTTTACATCCCTGTTTTCCCACCAGACTCCTGCTAAGGAACATGCATATAATCTTTATTCACTGGCATAAAATCTTGATTATGAATATCTACTATTATATAATATTTTAATGCAGAAAACCTCCCAGGAGCTGTTTAAGTACAAAGAACAGTTCCTCCTTGGACTAACTGGCCTGACTTTCTGACTTTTATTATGAGATACTCACTTCTCAGAATTTTCCCTTGTGTTCATCCTGTTGGGAACGAGTATCATCTCTAATCCGCTTCCTTTGTGATCTCCATGAACTGGAAATAGAGAGCCGAGCTTGTTGGGACGGTGGGAGGGGGAGCAAGCAGGTGCTTCATGAACAACACACCCCTAATAACGCCCCACGGGAGCTTGGCCTTGGCGACATGCACTGTAGCAGATTCCTAGAGGTGCTCAACAGCGGATTCTGAGCAGATGGAAGGAAGAAATGGCAAACTTGAAGACAGGTCAACTGAGATGACCAAGTATGAGGAGCAGAAGGGAGAAAAGGTGGGATGACCCGAACAGAGTCCGAGAGAGCTGTGGGACACCACCAAGGGGACCAGCACACTCGTGATGGGAATCCCACAGGACAGGAACAATCAAGGGGGAAAATAAGTATTAGAAGAAGAGGTGGGGGCTGGCGCTGTGGTGCAGTAGTTAACACCCTGGCCTGAAGTGCCGGCATCCCATATGGGCGCCGGTTCTAGTCTCGGCTGCTCCTCTTCAGATCCAGCTCTCTGCTACGGCCTGGGAAAGCAGTAGAGGATGGCCCAAGTGCATGGGCCCCTGCACCCACGTGGGAGACCCGGAAGAAGCTTCTGGCTCCTGGCTTTGGATCAGCACAGCTCCAGCTGTTGCGACCAATTGGGGAATGAACCATTGGATGGAAGACCTCTCTCTCTCTCTCTCTCTCTCTCTCTCTCTCTGTGTGTGTGTGTGTTTCTCCTCTCTCCGTGTAACTGTAACTTTCAAATAAATAAATAAATATTTAAAAAATAAAAAGAAGAGGTGGCCCCAACCATGTTACATATGATGGAAAATGTTACATGTCCAAAAAACTCAACTCCAAGCTTAAAAAGCTCAGAGATCCAAAAGTTGGCACATCCTGTGCCAATAAGCAAAGTCTTGAAAGCAGCAACCAGCAGTGACTCATCACATATATAGGATCTGCAGTAAGATTAAACAGTGAGGGGCCAGCGCTGTGGCGCAGTGGGTTAACACCCTGGCCTGAAGCGCCGGCATCCCGTATGGGCGCTGGTGGGAGACCAGGCTGCCCCACTTCTGAGCCAGCTCTCTGCTGTGGCCTGGGAAAGCAGTAAAGGATGACTCACGTGCTTGGGCCCCTGCACCCATGTGGGAGATCTAGAGGAAGCTGCTGGCTCCTGGCTTTGGATTGGCACAGCTCCAGCTGTTGCGGCCATCTTGGGAGTGAACCATCAGACGGAAGACCTCTCTCTCTCTGCCTCTCCTCTCTCTGTGTAACTCTGACTTTCAAATAAATAAATAAATAAATCTTTAAAAAAAAGATTAAGCAGTGAGTCCTCAGGGCAGGTGTTGGCCTAGCTGAGGCTCTGCTCACTGGGATGCCTGCATCCCATACTGGAGTGTGTGTATTTGAGTGCTTGCTCTGCTCCCAATTCCAGCTTCCTGCTGATGGGCACCCTGGGTGGGCATCAGGTGATGTCCCGAGTAGCCGGGTCCCTGCCGCCTGTGTCACAGGTCTGGAGTGAGTTCCAGGCTCTTGGCTTCAGCCTGGCTCAGCCCTGGCTGTTGCAGGCGTTTAGGGAGAGAACCAGCAGGTAGATCTGCCTCTGTCTCTCTCTCTCTCCCTTTCTCTGTCTCTGTCCCTCTGCCTTCAAAGAAGTAAAAATAAATAAATGAATACATCATTTAAAACTTTTATTTAGAAAGAGTGAGTGCCCATCCGTCTCAAGGTGTGCTACAGAGGAGACTGGCCCTGGTCCTCTGTAGCAACTAGACTGTTTTTTCTTTAATTTTTCTTTTCATTTTCTGTGAATGGCAGAGATACACAGAGAGAGACTGACACAAACAGAGATCTTCCATCCAGTGGTTTACTTCCCAAATGTCCACAACAGCAGGGTTGGGCCAGGCGGAAGCCAGGAGCCTGGACTCAGTCAGTTGTTCCGCGCGGTGGCAGGGACCCAGCTGCTTGAGCTGTTGCTGCTGCCTCCTATGGTGAGCAGTAGCAGGGAGCTGGAACCGGAAGCAGAGCCGGGACTTGAGTTCAGGCACGCTGAGGTGGGCTGCACGTGTCAGGACAGCCCAAGCTGCGTCTTAACCGCTCTGCCAAATGCCAGCCCACCCAGCAACCCCCTTCCACCCCAGGGCCTGGAGTTTTTGAGGTTTAGGTAGGAACTGAGATATTTTTCAACTTCAGGTCACAACCCATCCATAAGGGATCATGAAATCAGCGTCAGCTTTTTCTTAATGAAATCAAACGAAAAAAATTTCTAAAGGATGTATTTATTTATTTGAGAGGCAGAGTTACAGACAGAGAGATGCAGATACAGAGAAATCTTCCATCTGCTAGTTCACCCCCAAATGGCTGCAATGGCTGGAGCTGAGCCGACCCAAAGCCAGGAGCCAGGAGCTTCTTCCAGGTCTCCCACGTGGGTGTAGGGGCCCAAGCACCTGGGCCATCTTCTACTGCTTTCCCAGGCCGTAACAGAGACCTGGATTGGAAGTGGAGCAGCTGGGACTTGAACCGGTGCCCATATGGGATGCTGGTGCCGCAAGTGGAGGCTTAACCTACTACACCACAGACTGGCCCCAAAATGAAGAATTTTAAAGTGGAATATGTGGTACAGGAAAATTTGATTTCATGATCAGTTTGTTTTAAGAACACAAACACATATTCTGTATCACAATATAAAACGTACTTCTTACTGTGGATCATAGTACAGTTTTCAAGAAACACTGATATGGTAGAAAAATTGATAATAATTGTGGGAAAAGATGTTCCTAAGGTAGGAAACGTATGCATAATTGGTTGGAGGTTGACTGTAGCAAAGAAAACTCCCATGATTGTTCCTGTGTCCAGCAGTTCTAATATCTCATATTTCCATTTGCACACAGGCCCTTCAGCGATTATTCGACAATAAGAGAGTCTCTCCGGTTCTCTGATCCTTCACCCCGGATTTTACGGCTCTCAATAGCCAAAGGCACAAACCCAGACTATGTCCCTCCCAAAGACGTAAGTGTGCCCAGGCTACCCCCTTATTTCTAGGCACATGTTTTCCTTTCTCATGCATAATCTCTCCTTCCCCTGAAATGAACTTGCCTGATGACTGCCCCTAGTCTAACTTATCAATCAGGATTGGGTCAGAGAAGCTGAATCATTATAAGTGATATAGAATAAGCCATGTGTTACAGGGGTTGGCCCTTAGGCAACCGTAGGAACTGTGGAGACATCTGTGAAGGTGTATGGCTACTGGGACTTGGATCTGGTTATAAATCTAGAAGCAACGAGAGGTAGTAGGGAGAGGTCCACAGTTCCTGAAGCTGTCCGGGCAAGGGGAGTCCAACCTCCCCAGGGGAGGGAAGGCTCGTTCTAAGGCAAGCAAGGCTCAGCAGGATTTAGGGGTTTGGAGTCCCACGCTTCATGAAAATTTGCCCGCAACCCCTGTGTCAATTTCAAGGTTCCATTCCTCCCAATCTTTGTCCTAACTCTACCCGTACAAGGTTGAGATTCCCCTTTCACTGTAAGTCACGCACCCACACAACTAGATTTTGAGTTTGGCTCTCAAAATGTTCAGCCCTGCGACAAGAGAAGACACATGTTTCTTTTAGGGCCACCATGGAAGCTTTCTCGTCCCTTTTCTGGACCTGATGGTGGGAATTTCAAGCCCTGAATAGATCATTCCTTTCCTCAAGTCCTCCAGTGCACGTAGAAGCCACCACTCCCACCACACGTCTTTGTGTCCCTAAAATGCTATTCGGGAGCAGCCACTGGCCACCCAAAGCCTTGCTTTCTGTTTTGCCATTGCATGCCATGGATTCCAATGTCTTTCGGTTTTTAACATTACCAATAGGCTCATTCATGCCTTTAAATCTGATCAGCTCAGAAAATAAATCCAGGTAATCTAGAACCAATATGGAGAGCGTATCCTGAAGGTTTTGATCTCTCTGTTGCTTTGTACCAAACCACTCTCAATCTTAGAGGCATAAAGCAACCACCATTTTATTATGCTGAAAGATGTTACGAGTTGGAAACTCTGACAGGGCAGCAGGTGCACCTGGTCTCTGTCCCTCACGTCTGGGGCCTCAGCTGAGAAATCCCCAGTGGCTTGGGTACCAAATGGTCGGGGGCTGGAATCATCTGGGTGCTCCTTCCTACCTGCTGTAACCGAACAGAATAAAGTAGGTGGCTCCAATGCAAGACATTTACTCATATTTCTCCTAGTCCGGGAGGCCAAGAAGTCTAAGGTTAAGGTGTTGGTAGATTCTGTCCTTGGGGACGCACGTGGTGTGGACGTGGCCACCATCTTGCTTCACAACAGTGCAAGCAACCTCTGGCCTGCCTTTTCTTTTCTTTTCTTTTCTTTTCTTTTCTTTTCTTTTCTTTTCTTTTCTTTTCTTTTCTTTTCTTTTCTTTTCTTTTCTTTTCTTAAATAAAGGTGCTGATCCCATTATGGGGACTCCAACCTCAGGACCTCATCTAAACCTAATTACCTCCCAGAAGTTCCACCCCCTCAACTCATCCCATTGGTGATCAGGGCTTCCACCTAGAAATTTGAGCGGGGAGGGACACAAACATTCAGTCCACGATAGCACCTGTGCTACTTAGGCTGGGAGGAGCTGAAGACCAGCTTCAGGAGAACTTCGAATGGCCTCTCCACGCGGCTTAGACCTCTCTCAGTGTCACAGCTGTTGGCAGAGCATGCTAAGCTGGCGTATCCCAGGAGGGAGCATTCTGGGAACAGGTGGCAGCTGCGTGAGCTTTCATGGCTCGGCCTTGGAAGGCACGGGATCCCCTTGTAGTCCCACTCTATGGACTGCTGCAGCTACAGGTGTGGTCGGGGTGGGGCTCAGACTCCAGCCCTCTGTGACGGAAGTGTCCAGGAATCTGTAGGCACTGGAAAGAGCTGTTACAGCCTGGGATGTGAGTCCCCTGGTGTTCTTGAGCGTGACTCTGTGTGTAGGAAAGGCTCTTCAGAGGGGGGTATGTTCTCAATTTAAATGACAGTCCCATCTGAAAGTTAATGTTTTCTTAGGCTTTTAAGTTCAACTTGGAACTTCATTATTTTGCTTATAATTTTAACAGTTTATAAGAGTTAATTTTTTTAAAGATTTATCTATTTATTTGAAAGTCAGAGTTACACAGAGAGAGGAGAGGCAGAGAGAGAAAGAGAGAGAGAGAGGTCTTCTGTCTGATGGTTCACTCCCCAGATGGCCTCAAGGGCCGGAGCTGTGCCGATCCAAAGCCAGGAGCCAGGAGCTTCTTCCGGGTCTCCCACGCGGGTGCAGGGGCCCAAGGACTTGGGCCATCTTCTACTGCTTTCCCAGGCCACAGCAGAGAGCTGGATTGGAAGTGGAGCAGCTGGGACTAGAACTGGCACCAATATGGGATGCTGGTGCTTCAGGCCAGGGCGTTACCCAGCTTGCCACAGCGCCAGCCCCATGTAAGAGTTAATTTTTAAGAATCCTAATGCTTGGTTTGATTTCCAAACTTGGCTAATTAAATACCTTCAACCAATTGAAACTCTATTTATAGAAATATTACATTTATGGCCGGCGCCGCTGCTCACTAGGCTAATCCTCCGCCTAGCGGCGCTGGCACACCGGGTTCTAGTCCCGGTCGGGGCGCCGGATTCTGTCCCGGTTGCCCCTCTTCCAGGCCAGCCCTCTGCTGTGGCCAGGGAGTGCAGTGGAGGATGGCCCAGGTGCTTGGGCCCTGCACCCCATGGGAGACCAGGAAAAGCACCTGGCTCCTGGCTCCTGCCATCGGATCAGCGCGGTGCGTCGGCCGCAGCGCGCTGGCCGCGGCGGCCATTGGAGGGTGAACCAATGGCAAAGGAAGACCTTCCTCTCTGTCTCTTTCTCTCACTGTCGACGAGAGTGAAAACAGAAAAAAAAAAGAAAATTAAATTTTATATTACCGTGTTAGACGGGGGGGAATAACGAAAAGAGAGTTCCAAGTAAAACTACATAAAGAGCTTAAGGGTTCAGTTTTTAAGACCGGAAGCCAGATTTGAGGGGCATTCGCAAGGGCACATGACCTTAGAATTTCAGTTTAAGTCTTATTTCGACTG